TAAAAGGGTTGTTTCTCATTCATTAAGAGCTTACCGCGAGCCCCTACCAGAAATTCGTTGCGCCGCCCTTGGGGGCAAAAAACGGTGAAAGCTAACGTACGAAATCAGAGGGCAGCACACGGTGCCATCGCGCGACCCTGCCCGTGAGCAATCTCCCAACTCATCTCTGGTTAATGATACTAAATTTTCCTTTTGGACGGTACAAACGGTGCACACGGATTGGTTAATCTGGGAGTAGAATCGTTTCATCTTTCTCGGATAAATGCTAACCGAATCGAAGCGCAATAAGGATGCAGGACTTCCAAATCTATCTCCCTCTGGAACAAGCTCGCCGTGTGTTCTTAAGCGTAGCGAGCGTATGTACCAGTTTACTATATATTTCAGTGGCATAAATGCACTCATTCTGTCCTGGAAAACATGGAGTCTAGGTATTCGTTGTTACTTTGTGGTTTCGAAAAATCTGCGTACTTTACGATTTACGGCTTAGCCGTATATCTTTTTAGTCATTATTTAAATTTTGCGTACTTTTTTTCGGAAAACACAGACTGGTTTTACAGTAGTCATGAAAATTTACCCAAGTATGATTACATCGTTGGTAAGTATAATATTGTAACAATAGTCCAGATACTTTCAAGATCTGAAGTTTATTTTTCACGTAGAGTATTTTTATTATCTATCTGAATTTCTTTTTTACAATGATAATTGTCAATTATATTAAAAATTTAGATACTGGTATTAGTACATGCAACGAAAGCAAGAACACTTAATGGATAATAATATAAGAACTTTTCTTGTAGTTGGAGCAGGCAGCGCCGGTGCCGTACTTGCCACCAGATTGAATGAGATGGGTTTTAGAATTTTACTATTAGAAGCGGGTGGAACGTCTCCTTATTTTACTGACATACCGGTTCTTGCACCATTTCTTCAAAGAAGTGTTTACGATTGGCAACATGCTACCGTACCACAAAAGCATGCATGTAAAGGCCTAATTAACAATGTAAGATTTCTGTAATAATCTTCCTGTTATTTCATAACATTTATCGTTGTTGTATTTTTAGCAAAGTTTATGGTCAATGGGAAAGGTCATTGGAGGCTCCAGCAAATTAAATTATATGCTTTATGTTGAAGGACATCCTCTTGATTATGAAGATTGGTTTCCTGATTATAAGGGTAAATAAAAGTAAAATGTAATTACTATTGATATTAAGGAAACGTGAAAGTGTCTTCGGAGGGGACAGGTCCTGACCCCCATGAAACTACATTTCTTATAACAAATTTTTTAAATGCCTATAAACAAGTGTTGTAAAAAATTGAAATTTTGTTGGTATCAAGACCTTCCTTATTATCCTCCATATTCACATTATGTTTGAAACAATTTGGTAGGCCCCCCTTTGGAGAAAAACTTCAGGAGACCTTTTTGATACCACTTTCATGTCACCTTAAGAAAACCTTAATGTCAAATAAGTAATTTTGCTATTTATGTTAACCCAAAACAAAGTCCGTCAAAATACATTTGCACCGGTGTAAACTAATCGATCTTAATTATTCAATGAATTAAATGCGTTTTTTTTTTTATGAACTTCCTTAATAATCTTTAATATTCATCTTGAAACACGATGAAATAAAAACAATTTTCGTAGATTTCACTGCTGAAAAAATGAATTTGCAAGATGTTAATGATATTCAATGGTATACTGAATTATCTGATGCAGTTTTAAAAGGCATTACAGAATTAAACAAATATATCTGCAATATAAATAAAAATGTTGCCACTGGTGAGTAAGGTGCTTTATAAGATTATACTTCATTTTTTTAATGTAAACACTAAAGGTTATTTCTTATTCAGGTTTCATGAAAGCTCAAGTCACTATAAAAAATGGCGAAAGACAGGGTACAGATAAAATATTAAGGAATACAAACAGACCTGGATTAACTATATTTAGTCATTCACATGTAAATAAGGTATACATTTAATATAAATAAATTAATGCACAAATACATTCAAGTTAATGTATGTCTATATTCTTTATGGCATGTTAAGGTAATATTTAAATCAAAGAAGGCTGTAGGAATTGAATACACCAAATTTGGTAAAAGAATGCAAGCCTATGCAGATCAAGGGGTCATTCTCAGCGCTGGCGCAATTGGTAGCCCAAAACTATTAATGCTTTCTGGAATTGGACCAAAAGAGCATTTGGAGAGTTTGAATGTATGTCATCTGAGAACAATGATGTGGTACAAGTGAAAAAAAGAGTTGAACCGTTTACTGAGTATGTCCTCACCCTCCCACGATTATATTTTATAATTACCTTTTGTTTTTAGATAAAGGTTATTAATGATTTACCCGTGGGACAAAATTTGATGGACCATATAGTTACCGGCCTCGACTTGGTCACACTTAATACAACACTTTCTTTAAGCTTACCCAATTTACTTAATCCAATGTCAGCTATTCATTACTACCTTTTCCGTCAAGGTATATATTTCTTTGTATAATTATCAACATTCTTCTTTGGTATTTTGTTTTCACTAAATTTTGATAGTGCTATTCTGTAATCGTACAGGACCCTGGACATCCGCAGGTGTAGAAGTCCTAGGAACATTATATAGCCAGAAGAATAAATCAACAGCTCCTGATCTCCAATTTATGGTAATGCCTCTTGGCATTTCTCAAGATAATGGAATTTTCCTAAAGAGAATTATGGGAATAACTGACAGAGTAAGTTTTGCTCCTACTCATTTCTTTTCTTATTGGATATTATATACATTTATTAACAATCTTATTTAATAAGGATTTGATATAAATTAGCTTATTGTTATAACACACTGAATGAATTAATAAAAGGGTTGTTTCTCATTCATTAAGAGCTTACATGTAATTACATATTTTACAGGTTTATGAAGAATACTTTGCACCACTTTCGCACAAGACTGCAGTCACAATTTTACCAGTTTTATTACATCCTAAAAGTAAAGGAGAAATCAAATTGCGCAGTAATAATCCATTTGACCAGCCTATAATCAATCCAAAATATTTATCGAATAATGATGACGTTTACACGCTTATAAATGGTTAGTAAAACATTTTCGGAATCAACTAAATCATCATCGCTTTACTTTCTTTAAATGTTTCAGGAATACAATTTATTAAGCAATTAATTAATACCAATGCAATGCAAGCCCTTGGAGCGTCATTATATAAAAAACACTTTCCAGGTTGCGAGGATAAGACTTTTGATAGCATGGCATACTGGAATTGTTATATACGACATTTAACTTTGTCCTCCTATCACCCAGCAGGAACTTGTCGAATAAACACTGTTGTTGACAAATCGTTTAAGTATGGGAAAATTGCCTAATAAATCTTAATTGTGTATTGTCTATTGCATACAGGAAGCTGAGTTAATGGCAAAGTAATATTAATGTAAATAATTTTCTTTCAGAGTACTTGGTACAAGAAATTTATTTGTGGTCGATGCATCGGTTTTCCCAAAACTACCAAGTGGTAATATTAATGCAGCCGTCATGATGATTGCAGAGAAAGCGAGTAGTTTGTTTAAAATAAGAAAACAGGTGCACGAATCATTGTTATTTAAGTGTCAAATATCCGAGGTGTTTTATCCAAAGAATAAAGAAAGAAGTAAATGATATAACGGAAATTAAATATTTTATTTTTGTAAATAACACTACAATTCCAGGATGAAATGTATATGTATGAATACCTAGTGATAATCGACCTTCTTGACGAGTCTGTGGTGGTTTCTGGGAGTGACCCAAAAGCCGCCACGTCGAATGTGGCGGACCGACGTCGGTCTGCTGGCGACAACGGGCGCAGGTCATTCCCGGAAGCTACCACGACTTTAAAGAATAACTCTGACCGCGGAAGCTTAAAATACTTCTTCTTGATAAATCTGTAACTTGAGATGATACGAAAGGCGCTGAGAAATTTAATCGACGTCGATAAAATAAAATTCATCCATACTCTTTTTGGTGGCAATTTGGTGGTAATGCCATTTTGAATACTCAATTGGTAACATAAGCTGGCGCGTTCCGTTACCGACATTTATACTCATGCTGAAGGCTTTTACAGTCTACGTGCAAAATTACACGAACCGAATGAAGCGTTCCGTATGTCATTTCAGTAAAGTAATGATGAAAAGATCGATGTAAAACTGTCAAATTCCCGTGAATTCATTAGTCTAACGACTGTTACCGACCAACGTTGCCATCTGTGACGTTTAGCTGCGAGTAAATTTTTGCTCTAAAACCCCGGGACAAGTCAGCATTCTCTTGCGAACGTTGGTGAAAATATTTTCCAAACTTTCCCATCTGACTCTGTATTATTATTCCATTTCTGTGGTCTCAACCGAGTTTCCTGGTAAGGATTTGGATTATCGCGTCCTACACGAATGGCTTATAGCTTAGTGGACAAAATATACGTCAATGGACACGTCTCTAGAATTGCATAAAAATCACGTCATTTAGCTGTGACATGTTATCGTCATTTTCACAGCATAATTACGTTTCGCACTTGATGATTTCGACGTAATATCTTACTTAAAAATCACGCGAATATCCCGTACTCTGCTACCTGGGATATTGTTCCAAATCGCTCCTAAATAATTTGCACACCGAAACAATATCTTAACAATAACGAATGCAATATTCATATTATGCTTAATCGCTATGTAATAACTTGAAGCCTTTAAGGAAAGTCTATAATTTTGTTTTGGAAGAAACTGATTAATTTGGTCCCCAAACGGTATCTTCTATCCAGTCGAGGTAGTGAGAAACACGCGTATATACTCCAGGAGAATCAGCCAACGAACACAGTCTTCCAAAACTCGTAACACCGACAATTTGGTAAAGACACGTGGACGGGTGGGTGGCTTGAAGAGGCCCTCCTGAATCTCCTTGACAAGCATCTTTCTTCCCTCCTCTGTTTGGATCTCCGGCACATATCATTGTTGGCGATACGCCTCGGGGTACCGATGTTAAACCTCGCAGAAGTTTCGTGCATCGAATATTATCTACTATATCCAGGCGTGCTTTCAACAAAATATCACTGCGGTCCTCCCCTGTATCACAAATGCTTATGTACTCGACTCGTTGAACAACATACAAAAGTGCTCAATTTTTTCCCATGCACGTATAGCGTATGGACCGCGCATTGTGCATCGCTGACAGAACGGGGAGAGAACGAGAACCGTTAAGTTCGGATATACACTTGTCCGCGCTGGTAGAATGCACGATAAGTTCTTGGCAGTTGTTTGACACCAAGAAACTCGGTAGAGTTTTCAGCTAAATATATTTTTGAGCGAGATACTCGCAACGTCGAGTACCGAGAAAAACGCCATCTGCGCGCTCGAGCTCGAACAAGACGCTACGGAGTTCTAAACGCCAAGGATCGAGACTTCAGGAGTGGGATGAACGGAAATACAATTTTTCCATTCTATTTTTCCATTAAAGAGAAATAACCGTCCGATTGGCTGAGAAAATCAAGAATTTTTCAAACGATTAGGTGTTTTTTTAGGTATACACATACGCAAATTACTTCGCTCCGCACTTCTGTTGCACGTACAAGCGTAGACCCAATCGCAACAGTTCTCGTTCTCTCACCGTTCCGTTAGATCCAGTCGAAGCAATATTTAAGCACAGGCAGTGAGCAGTCCATACATTATACGTCCATGCTTTTTCCTATCAATGTGAAACTGTATTGGTAATATAAGATTCTAGGGAATCAATAGTTTTTGAGATATTCAGTTCGTGCAATTTGCCGCCTTACAATTAGTTACAAGATCGGAAGTAAAATTTGACATCTCAAAGTATATGAAAATGAAACATAACCCACCAAGCACGTTACGTCACAGGTACATCATACATGACAATGAAATAACGATGTATAATGCCGATTATGGCGGAAAGCACATTCGGATCGGATCATAAGTCGTTTAGTTCCAATTAATTGTGGTTAGATTCAGTTAAAGTAAGCCAAGGGACAGCGAGTCACCTGGACATAAGTAAAAAATCGCCGAGCTTTAGGATTGCGCCCCGTCTCGACCCGTCTCGCCGAAGACCCTACCGACGATATCGTCAACCACCACGTGGAAAGGGCCCACGGGCAGACCAAGTCCTCGCCAAACCGATGCAAAAGAGGCATCCAGTGATTGGCACCCTGCAAAACTCCACAAAGCGGGGAAAGATTACCTACGGCCACGCCAACCTGTCGGGCGTCGTCACCGACCTGGGGCATATAGATACCGGGGTTGTTCTCTACAAATCGATCTCTCGAGCGAGTCCCTGCGATTCTTTACAGAGGAGAGATACAGGGTTTGAAGCTTTTGCGAGGGATCTATGACTTTTTCAGTAGGCTTTCGGGGTGTACAGCCCCCGGTGAATTTTTTTTTCGCAACTGCGATCACAGGAGCTCTCGACGGGGAAGGTTGTTCTCTTCAAACTGAGCTCTCGAGCGAGTGGCTGCAATTTTTTTTTCAGAGAAGATACGCGTTTTCGGCATTTTGAGGCGTCTTGAGGCGTTTTTGGGCGACTTTAGATGGTTTTAAGCAGTTATTGGACGGTTTTAGTCGATTTTAAACGTCTGTCTACCTCTTCCTGCGCTTCCTTACGTCTTTCTACGTTAACTGCCACATGGTATGACCATCGCGAGTCCTAATGAGCCGCTAGTGGCGACTGTTACATGGCACCGCCATCGTGATTACATTCTCCATCAAAAATATGCTTTAATTTTTTTCATCGATGTAATTAAAAAAAGTAATAAAGAATTCGCGAGCAATGACGTTACCGAATCATCGGACAGATAAAACTCATTATTACATTTCAAAATAAATTTTACGGTGAAAACATTACCTAATCGAGTTACGCCCCACCCTGTCACCCAAACGTTTGTAGGAACGTTATCAAATTCAGTATGAAGGCAAGCGGGCTTAATGTACTTTCCAAAAACAACAGCTTTCGTTAATTTCAACAATGCAATGTCGGCATACTTAGCAGGTGGTAAGTAAACGGGATGTCTTTTGACGGACTCAATTTGAAAAATCTGACCGGAGTTATCGTTTAAACGATTCGTCCCGACTCGAACCACGTTTGGACTGCCACTGAAATGCCAGAAGATTTGATGTATTGCTTATGTTAGATTTATACCGAGTGAGGTATTTAACGTAACGTATCGATATATCTGGTGAATAAAACACTTTAGAGAAGAAACGTCAAACAAAAGTTTTTCGATTTCGTGGGCGAGTATAGTGGCGATATACATGTCGAGGTGTTCTCTTGAAACCTCGTTGAAGCCGCTCGATTTTCCCAGATTTGCGCTTCCATTGTGTTCGCCTCGATTGAACGCAGCTCGCTGTCCCGATCCATCAGTCCAGACCAGACCAGACCAGACGCAGTGCCTGTTCCTTACCTTTTTCTAAAATAAAGAATCTTGGCTAAGGTCCTCTTCCGTATTCCGCAGGTGTGTCCTAAGCAAAAAGGCAGATGCTGCCGGGACCATAAGGCCAGGTAAAAAGGGCGCAGAGTAATGGATTAAGAATTAACTGTATTAATCCCTGTCATAAATTCTAAACAAAAAAATTTGAGCGCCGACGTACATGATTTATTTGAAGGTTATTTCAGGGTCAATTTTAGCTTTTCAAATGAAAGTCATATTTTTTATGGTAGCATTGTATTGTATGAAAAAATAAATCATTTTCATTCCACACATTTTTTATACGGCTTCAATTTCGCAAGAGAATAAAAATAACATCAAAAAAGGTTCCATTCTGGGTTGCCTTGTTCTCTAACTGCGTTTTACTAATTTACATCAGTCAGTCTTTATGTTATCTGAGCCAAGTCATCACGGTTACACAAGAAAAAAAAAATCACCGGCTTCAATTAACAAACATTAAAAATGGCGACCTACTGAACAACTAAACGCGGAATGGAACAGTTTTGACGTAATGTTTATTTATCTTGCGACGCAAAGCCACACATCAAAATATTTGCAATGAAAGATCCTTCTTTTTTTGTCGTACGGGACAATGTTGCAATAAAAAATTGAGCTTCCATCTAAAACACCTATGTTGGCCCTGAAATGACGTTGAAAATAACCTTCAAATAAATAATGTGTATTATCGTTATACTTCCCCCTCCAAATAAAGAAACTTTTATTTGACACTTTTTCTCTGAAGTGCTTTGTTCACCAGATATATCGCTATCTCAACTTAATTGCCCCACCCGGCATATTTTTTATTGTCGAGTTTCGTAACTTACAAAAGTGCATGAGTGCAATGAGCTGCCGTTAATACCCAGTATTCTGATATTAAGCTTCCACCGCACAAGTAATCAATGGTTCCATTTTGTAGAAACCACCCTACAGCAACCATATGTGGAAATTCCCCAGCTTGTGCTATTTCACCACCCATAACGAGAGGGTTAATCAACTCTTGACACTTTCTAGGAATGGGAACAGGCCGTGACCCTGTGAGTTGCAATATCCACACATTTTTTCCCACTGCTTCGTTATACTCATCGCACTCTGAAATACATACAAACCACCACGATCACGTAACAAGTTTCTGATTAGAATTAAATATACAAAGTTATAAATATTAGAATATATTAAAAAAAAATATTTGAAACAAAACGTTATTATTTTTTTTTTACACAGAATCTGAAATTTCAATGAAAAATACTATGTACAGAGACATGCGTGAATGCCTTCTCTGCAAATATAGCGCCGCTATTACATAATGGAAAAGCATTTGTCTCCATCAGTATACCATTTGAAAAACTCCACTTCCGGGATGGACATGCCATTTAGTATCAGAAGTTGAAATTACCAACATTTGATATAAGATATGCGAGTAACTTGTAAAAAGTTGTTACGTTTTCCAAATAAACCATTCCCCCCTATTTTAATAGGGATAGATGGATGGTCAAAAACACCCTATATATATATTCAAAACTCATGCACGATTACACGATCGCTTTAATCTTTGAACAGTGCATAATTAATCATAATTTCAATTACTGCTAGTAATGTACATATGTTAAAACAAATGCCAATTTATCATTTTATTATAAACATATGAAGATACATACTTATTTCACACTTTCTTCTTTCTGGCCGATATCTAGATGTTAACTGTACCGTTTTTTTTTCAAGATTAGTGTAATTTATTACAGTATCCATTGCATCATTTTCGGACCACCGATGGCGATCTGTGATATAAAGCTGTCGACGAGTTCTAGTTTTATACCCAGTAACTTGCGAATCGTTGTCATCTTGATTCATTACATTTAGCAACTTAAAAACATGAATATTTTGAGTTGGGATACGAAGATCTCTTATGAAAGTTGGATCGAAAGACTGAATTTGGGAATCACCTGTAATTTTTTTAAATCCTTTTTAATTATAGCACAAATTTTTAAAGGATGAAACATCCAAAAATGAAGATGTAACTTTTCTTCATTCCATTTTTAATAAATGAATCCAGTTTAATGTTTTTCAAGTTAAATTTTTGAAATACTGTTTCAAGTAATAGTTGGCATTAAAATATGGCTATATAAACTTATATTTATAACTCCATTTGTCCTCCTCATAAAAAGCTAATGATATAATGAATTCCAATTTTCAAATTTAGTTTTTTAGTCTGAAATGTTTATAAGCATTTTTGTTCTTATCATAGATCTTTAATTAACACACCGAAATTAAAAAAGAATGAATGTCTTAACCTTAAACATGTACTGTGCAAAGCGATTCTTTATAATTAGTAATTCCATGACAATACGAAAGAATCAGCTATTACAAGTATTTTCTCCAATTTCTTTTTTATTATCAGATCAACAATATCAATATAAAGTACATACTCCGGACAACTGGTGTAATAAGGAAAATGAACACGTTCAAAATATACAAAAAATGACACATGATTATATGTTTCAGAATACTACATCCTTATTTGGTTCTAAACTTGAGTTGATTTTATAAAATACAACTTATCCGTTAATCTGAAATATGTTTCATTTCATAAAATACATTTTCGTCTGTTCCCGTCACTGAACATAGAGAGAAAAGTTGGGATATTACTCATGGGATGGGCCGTGCGAGCGCATTCTGTGCTGCCCTCGGTGGAGAATGCGGGCGGTTCACGCACTTGCTATCTGATACCCCCAGTGGCGGCTCAACTTAGGGATCCTCTTCATCTCTGTGATAGTAAACATTTTTTACCATCAAGTCCAGCAAAGGTGGAAGTCCTCGAAGATGATTTTGGCTGCATTCTGTTTCCGCTTCCTCTTCCTTCTGGTGCCATTGGATGGCAACAATTGAACGATATTTAATCCTTGGCATCCGCGACCCGTTTTCACTTCGAGTCCACGATTCCAGAGAATTTCAGGAGTTTTACTTCGATTTTTTTATAATTATTGTACGAAAACGATATATGGAGTATGCCATTTGGTAAAATATCCAATATAATTCGACACAGCTGTTCATATAAATACGAACGTCGGTAATGTGGTTATTTAGAAGAATCTTTTTTACCAACGTCGATTAAATTTCTCGGTGGATTTCACTTTACCTTAAGACATCGAGCATACCGGAATATTCACATGGTGTATAACAAGGAAAATCATGGAATAAGATGGTAATTCAATTGACTCCAATGTATTCAAAGTCACCGGTTTAAACGGTGGTAAATGTCCATTCGATCGTAGATTCAATACTTCTCCATTCAAATTGATATTCCTGGAAAATAAATATGAACTTTTTAAAGAATTTATAATATACTAACAAATAATAGGAAGAAAACGAAGCGAGTACCAAATCATTGGCAACATATAAATGCAGAGAATACGAAACATGACTGTAACAAATAGCACAACGTTCAATCTATAAAAAAATCTATAACATACGCGTGAAATAGATTTCACGAAATATTTATTATTTCATAAGATTTCACGTATTTGCTGAAATTTTATACGTAACATGCACTAAATTTGGATGATAATTATGCTGTAGTTAATGATTCTGCCAATAAATTGCATACCTTGATTGCAAGTGGTCAGAAGTAAGAGCATACAACGACACAATGATCTTTTTGTTTGGTGCTGGAATAATCCCTTCGATATTTATCCTCATAGACTTGCTATTAATATTAACTCCGTAAATTGTAATTGCTGGAACATTATCGAGCGAAGCACTTTGGGGAGTGCAATGTGCGTACAACCGCAGATACTCGAACTTATTCGATGATAACTCCAAAACTTTTTCCGATACAAATTGTTTGAATATCACGCTAACCCACCAATCCGGATTTGGTGCTACATCTGGCCCAACCATGGCATAATTTCCACCGAAATATGATTGCCTTATAACGACATTTAGCCCAGAGAGGGCACTGTATCCAAGTTTATCCAGCCATAAGAAGCCACCTACGAATCTATCTGACAGTTCTGGAGCACCACCGCCAAATGCCGTACTGGTTTCCGCTATAAAGAATGAAAGAAATTATTCACTTTTTTTTATCAATTCCAGTTAGCCTATTAGCCTATTAATGGAAAATACAAGGGACTGCAACATTTATTAAACTTTGCACGGGATATGCAGTAACTTCTGGACTTACAAGGAAGGTTACTTTGGTGTCCCCCTCCAATTTTATTCAAATGTTTATTTTGTGACGTGTCACGCTAACTTTTTCTAATTTCTGAGTGGCTGGCTCGGTAGTCAAAAGTCTATCTAATCGATACGTCTAAATTAACTCCCTGATATACGTACATGCTTTGATAAAACATATACACATATATTCTTCGTATATTAATGACATATACGTACATTAGCCGTATTAACATAAAGTATATGTATACTATATGTGTGTGTTGTGCCGGTTTTGATTCTGATCTAGGCTAAAAGACATTTTTTTAAATCCAAATTTTTAGGGTGTCTGGACTTTTCTTGGATGGTCACGAGTTATATGCTAAAATTTCTATCGGTTCAATGATACTGATCCTTTAAAGAAAGTATCTTATTAGAATTGATTGATTTGAGGTAGATTAAATTTCACCTTAATATCTCATCATCACGATACATCGGCATATTTTTGTGACGAAATGAAAAAAATGTTAAGTACTTGTTTCGAAACTGAGGAATTGGACTTCCCACAAGTAAGTGTTCGCTGAAATGCTTCATCCTACTGGAAACATTATGCGAAACCTGCTCAATCGATCAGATTTGGAGGGTAATTTCACTCATGAAACTCGTTTCATAACAGATGAAAAACGGACATCTCTTAGATTTCATTATAGTATAACATCATAAAAATAAGTATAAAATAATAAAATCGGACAGGAATATCAACGTAATCTTCCTTATTCGACGCATTCAAATCTTAAGGTAGTATTCATAGACCCGCACGCGATTATAGAGTACATTGTACCATTTATTTCGATTTTTATAGAAAAATTGTTATGTAAAATTAAAAAAAAAAGTTAATTACAGATCGATAAGATATTCACAAAACCATATAAATTGAGGACTAGTAATAATATAAACACTAAACCTACTGACAATTTATGTCTCAATTGCCAATACAATTTGAAAACGACCGGGGTAGGTTTAATGTTAATAAAAATATAGTTGTTAAATGCAAAAAGAGCTAAAGCTCTTCTATGCATAACATGAGTAACTGGGCCGTAATTAAAATACATGCAACTAAAGTCGTACTTATTGTGAATTCAACTTACAAAGCCACATATCGATATCTTTCTCCACTTCATTGAGCATAAACTTCATCGCATTAATTTGTACTGGCAAAATGTTAAATGTTTCGGGATTTATGAAGTCGTCGACTCGAGCCACCCGTCCATTGAGGTAATATTGATGCCACGTAACATAGGCAATACTATTGTTTGCTTTGATTAGAAATTCTTTGGCATAATCCTGACCCTTGCCATTAATATCGGCAATGTGATTCACTTCTGGGCCAACAACTATACTATTTGCGTATCCTTTTGTATCGAGAAGTTTCCTTAACTGAATATAATCTTGGGCCAATTGATCTGCATTTATACTTATGTTAAAGACATGATGAAACGAATTTGGCTCTGAAAATAAACGATATTTATTTAAACCCAGACCTTCCAGATTCTTAATTTCCGATCGCAATCGGTGCCATAAGTTTCCTCATTCCTTAACATTTTCCACAAGGAATACGTTGAAGTAATCTTCGTAAAGTGCAGATCCAAATAAACATCCAACGTTAGATTGTAATCCATTAATATCAAAGGATGTGTACCGTTTCCTAATTGCCAATCCAAGAGCATTCCATGATGCGCAGCAAACGATATAATTTCCTTTGCATTACTAATGTTCCAAGAGTTGTCCAAAGGATTTCTTATTAATACGTTCAGATCAAAGAGCATTCTCAAACCAGCTTCCTTTGTAAATGTATACAAAGATATAAAATCCTTAGCGGTAATTGTGAAATTACTGATATCCGAGCCGTCCACGGGGCTCGGTACTTTTGACGAAGCCGTTGCTTGACTCTGTTATAAAACAGAAATTAATTACATGAGATATACATAAAACCATTCATAGTTCTTTGATCATATTAACCAGAATACGGTGACCCTTTTAAAACCGATTATTTCAATACGTTTTGCACAAAATATTTAGAGTGCTCGGACTAGCAAATCGTAATCACCTTTTTTAGTTTTTAAATATTAGTGGCATTGCTACGATCTAACTAAAGTACAAGTTAACGCTACGATTTATTTATATACCTTGACATTTTTATTGTATAACAATTACATGGTATTATACTAGTTACAAGATCATTTGAATTCCATGAAAGATGTATCCAATACAATGAAGGTTTTATAGATTTAAAAAGAAAGACATATGATGTATTATAACATTATCACAATTTACTTCTGTGGACTAAAAAACCATAAGTTTTATCACATACTTTCGCATTATAAAATATTAGATACTAAAGAATATAACACTGGACCACATTCGTGCCAAAGGAAACCGATGCCTTTAACGTTAAAGTAATTTTCTGCACGTTTATGTACATGAAAATGTGTTAACAAAACTTCCGGAATTCTAAAATCTATATTCATTAAGGATGGTGAAAGCAAACTATATTCAACCCACAATTCTTTTTCGAAAGGTCATCGTTAACTGAATATTCAAATGGAATACTTAAATAAAAAAAAGACTAAGCGAGTTCTACTTTTAGAACGGGCAAGTAAAATGAGAAAATGAATCTTCAACAAAGGTAATAATTTTCATACGAAACAACTGTATACACCACAATAAAGAAAAATCTACACATATATGTATATCAAGTACCACCTACTGTATTGCAAGGAAAAATAGATGTATAAATCAGAACCTTAAAAGTAAAACTTGCCCCAAAATTCAATGTTAATACAGAATTCGTTAAAAATGTGAGGTATGTTATTAACACATTGCGTACGGGTCACGAGATATCTCGTATATAGCAAACCAAACATTGTGGCCGGGTTACAAGATATCTCGTAACCGCAAGTTCACAAATGCGCGGGCTCTGGAAGCGCGTTGAGCGAGTAGAGTGCCGTACGCAATGTGTTAAGTATGCGCATGTTTGTATTTTATAGATAAATATGAATACATAGAATAAATTAATATTTCTTTAACCTGGTCAAATAATAGGCAATCAGCGGATGTTCCACCAATTCTGACATATGCAGGGCCCAAGTAGCGTGCCAAAGTTATGAACCGCTTGTCTTGTAAGGGAAGATCATTCATATTCCTTAGCAAGGAAGTGTCCAAACCAAAAGATAAAAATCTTTCCGATGGTGTATGTAGTAGTGTTTGTTCTAGGTCCAGTACTAAGGTATGTTCATTTGCAAGACTTTGAGATGCCTTTTTCGTCATCCATATAAAAAAGTATAACGCGATCAATAGAGACACAGTGGAAGCTGCTACTTTTACAATACATTCTGGTTTTTTCACGATCAAAAGCATTGAAAGCTGAAAAAATCAATAGCAGTATTAGGTAACGGAAACAAATGATTCAATCGGCATCAGTCTATTACGTTTCAGACCTCATTCTGTGACATCTCACGTGCCCCTGTAAGCAGTACTCAAGGTGTTATGAAAGTGTCATTATATACAGGGTATAACAGAATTCGTAGTCTTATAACAATTTACAGAAAACTATTAATTTTTTAATCTACCTTATGATCATGAGTATATTAAATTGTGGTTATATCGATATGGAATATATATTAGTTCATTTATTCTGTGGATAAATTTGGGTATTTCTGTTGGAAGTTTGAAAGAAAAGAGTACATTTGGAGTAATATTAGTCATATAGTATATTTGACACTTTGTTTAACAAGAATATAAAGTGACAACAGCTTGGAAACGTTGAAGTAAATGAAAGTTCATGATTTCATATTTAGCAGATAACCTTTGGATGTCAAGTTACATCCACTGACATTAATTACAACTGTAGTTGTTCTACTTTTATAGTCACTGTAATAAGGCCTTGAAATTCAATTATTTGTGACTGCATATGTAGTTTGTATTTCCTCTTTCGGTGTATCGGCATCGGTTAGAGTACTACTACACTCGGAAAATTGATTTGGAGTCTGCGAAACCCACGGAAATGTTGAAAATAATTTAAAATTAAATGTCAAACAACTGCTTATTACAGGCGTGTAACGTTTTCAAAATATAACCTAATCAAATATCAAATGACCACAGGCGTTTGAAATTTTTAGGTTACTTGCAAAGTTACGATGGTGACGCTTTGCAGTGCCTATTTTGGCATGCAATATTTGCTGAACCTTAACCAAGTCAAACTCAAGTGCCTTCTACAGTTCTTCAACTATTCTGTATAGTACTTCTTGGTTTCGTTTGTTTTCTTGGAGCTGGTGTTTCTTGTATGTGTATGTAGGTGTATAACATGACGAGCTAGCCGTGTCCATGCAAGTTATATCATCGGATGGTGGCGCTGCGTTACCAGAATGTTTCGCGCGGGCTGTTTAAACTGTAGGTGCACGGTTCATTGAGTTTAGATTTCCAGGTTGCTTTCCTCTAGAAATTGTACAATATTTTTAAGGGTTCTTTCGTTGTTGGTGAAAGCCAACGTAGTACTACATTACGTAAATAATTGCGAATGTCTCAGAATAAATAAATTTGTCAGATTGTTCAGGGTATTTCGGACAAAAGTAGAAGATACGATTTAGAGTTTCTTCTCTGCCGCATAAACAAGTTGGTGAATCGATGATATATTTTCTAAAAAGCTGGCAGTTTAATCTTACGTGTCCAGTTCTTATTCGGTTTATGTATATCTCTATTTATGCCCGATTTTTTCACCTACGGATAAACTTCCGATAAAGTTATCCGGTAGTTTGAGTTGCAGATATTTGGAGGATAGTTACGCGGGAGTATGAAAAAATCGGGCATAATTAATTTAAATTGTAACCTGAAATAATGCGGATAGTAACAATCTTACCTTATGATTCAGGGTTAACATATCTCCAGAATTATAATAAAAGTAAAGGCGAGTGTTTTGCTTGGGATTTATGACAGGGATTGACACCGAGTTCGGTCTATTCATTACTCTGCGGTTCTTTTTAGCCGAGTTTGGTCCCGGCAACATCTGGCTTTCCGCTCGGGACATACCTGTGGAGCACGAGAGAGGATCTCAGTCAAGGATCTTTGTTTTGGAAAAAATAAGGAAGAAACACCGCGTCTACCCTGCAGTAATGAATTAGGACAATGAGTTGCGTTCGGTCGAGGCGAATAGAACGGAGCGGTAAAACTGGGGAAATCCCATTCCAGCAGTCCCAACGAGGTTTTAAGAAAATATCAGGAGATCTCGCCTAGACAGGTCTAATTGGCAACGAGGAGACAAAAATAATAAGAATGTCACGTAAAAAGTGTGATAAAGGACTGTAAAATGTGAAAAGAACATTTTTGGGATGACATCACTGACATGCGCCATTGTTCGGGGGGAAGACGTTATACAAGGCGGAGCGCGCGCTCGGAGCGTCATTCGATCTCCGTCTGACGAGGTATTAGCATCATATATTTTTTTTTTTATTTACCTTTGCTTAATCCCATACCCTTCCTCCCTCCCTCGCCCAACGTATCGTGGTAATTAATTTAACTTTTCGAAGGGCTCCAACGCGCAGCAACCTCCACGTGGTGGGCCTGGGGGATTGGTGATTTCCAACGACAGTTGGAAAGATAGTAGTTTTAATGTAGTAGAAAGTGGAACTACTCCTTGTGCGTGCACGTGATATAAGTTTACTTTGCTACAGATTGCGGAATGGACGTCGACGGGTACCTTTCCATGCAGCTAGTAATTTCGGGTTTGCATTTGCTAACCGAAGTAGATTATTGCAGGTACGGGATGCCGTGCCTTTACCGTACCGTCGCCGAGTACGTTGTAGCTAGTCTACGGCATGCGAGGCAACCCGGTTCAGGTCGGTTTCGCGATGCGCCGTTTCGCTTTGGCGGCAGCCTGCAGGGGCTCTGCCTGCCGTAAGACGGGCCAAGCCCGTCAGGTGAAACTCGTATTCGCGGGCCGACAACTGGGCCGGGTTAGTCGCCGGTCACGGTGGAAGTTTCTAGATTGCTCGCGTTATAAGTAGTATGCCACTTTGGCCAATTGTACCTGAAATTCGATGTCTATTGGCAATATACTCCGCGACTCCCCCAGCCTTTAAGCCGATAGTTGACAAACCTTTATAATGCATGCGGCCTGCGAAGGGTGGACGGATGAGTATGGTATGCGAGCGGTGCGTTGGGTGGGTTATGGAATCCTGTTTCTGCCGGATTCCCAGAGCGCTGGGAAGTCGACGGAAGCAGGTGCCTATGCTTAGGCGAATCCCAATCGCAGTGGCCTCCATGTGGCGAGATCCGGGGGATCGGTGCCACCCCCTAAGGATAGCACCGATCCGCGAACTAGCTGCGAAGTAAAGTTTGAGGGGCTATACCACTGTGAACGTCGAAAAAATTTCACATTTTTCACAATTTTTTTTTCTCAAAAAGTGCTGCACATAATGGCACAAACTTATGTTTCCACGAACGGTCCAATGTAGGAGAATACGGGAAAATTTTTCTTGTTAGTAAAAAATCCATATTTATTTATTTATTTATTTATTATTACAAACGTAGAGTAGTAAAAAAGTTGTTTGTTGCTGGCGCAGGTGATCCGAAACAAAAAATTCAAAGATTCTTAATCCGTAAGGCCGTCGCTATCGCCCATCGTGGTAAAATTTTAATTTTAACTCATACTTTTGCCTCAATTATAGCGCAAAAAAAACGTATTTTTGTAACACTTGCAAAAAACGCTGCCATTTTGTTAATTTATAATATAAATTATTAATTGAGGTACGGGTGATAGCGACGGCCTTACGGATTAAGAATCTTTTTGAATTTTTTGTTTCAGATTACCAGGAGGGCTTCAAAAATCTGCGCCAGTCGCAAATAATTTTTTTTACTACCCTACGTTTGTAATCATAAATAAATAAATATGTATTTTTTACTAAAAGGAATAACCTTGTATTTTCCTACCCTGAGCCTTTCATGGAAAAGAAAGCGTGTGCCGTTATATCCAGTGCTGTTTCAGAAAAGAATGGTGAAAAATGTGTAACTTTTTCGACGTTCAAGGTGGTATAGCTCCTTAAAAATTGCCAAATGAACGCATGTTTCATACCCTGTCTCTAAATACGCCCCGTTCGTCTCGGACGCATCACAAAACCGTGAAAGCACGAGCCAGCCAAGTCCCTTTCCCCGTGCCTCTAGTGGCCTGTCCGATGCGTGATGCAAACGATCATGCGCGTAGAGACCGAGGAAGGAAGGAAGCCCAGGTTGGCGCACGGTCCCCACTCGGTGTCAGTCTCGTTCCGGACGCCAATACCGTCGCGCACCCGCCGCCAACACGAGTCGTGCCTTTCCTGCTCCGCCACTCGGCGTTTGTTCTTCTCCCTCTCTCCCTCTCTCTCTACGTTTTCTCTCGGCACCACTCTTACGACGACGAATCGCTGCGCTCCCGGCGAGCAGGGACCCTCTCTCGACACGTGGACGCGGTCACTCTCTCGCGGTGACATTCGCTTTTCATTATTGGCCGCCTCCTCGCTCGCTCGTCTGTCAGCTCGGGACCGTCGCCCCTAACGGTCTGCTGCGCCACGGCTCTCGTCACTCGGAAACAGGTCAGTGTAAAATTCTTACGGTACATTCGCGCGACCTAGACACGGAAGCACCGCCAGATAATAGGGCTCCGTCGGCGTCACGTGACTGCATTACTAGGTCACGTGGTCGAGTTTAGAAAAGTTAACCCGCGATTGGAAGACGGTGCACCTTTTAACTGTCGTTGACTTTGTTTTTTCTTTCCAACGCGCAGTTCCGCTCGTTATTCGTTACCTCGTGTTAAAACTTTTTCAGCTATTCCGAATGATTGGTCGTTAGGCGGCGGTTGGTAGTGGATGACTGTAGCGATGCTTCCGTTTATTTATATTAATGCACGGGCGGAAGTACACTGGCGGATACGAATGTCTGCCGATTTTGCGGATGCGGGTCCGCAAGTGCATTTATGTCCGCCAGTGTACACTTGACTCGTGTACGAAATGTATGTCAGGATGGAAAGCCCAAATGCAGTTCTTTGGAGTTTTTCCGGAAGCACGTAAGAGATCCTTAGTTTTTGAGTATATGATGTAAATGTGGGAGTTTAAATGATCGAATTCGTTCTTAATATGTTATTCTTTCGTGGAAACTTATAAACTGAAAGAAGCATTCGCTCAAGAGTGGTATTCAGTTTTCTTTACATTTTGGTCCGCAATGGCATTAGAAAAACTTGTAGCTTAATTGTAAGGTTTCATGTGATTCACCAGGAAGAAGTGATGGCGCATGTACAATGTGAAATAGACAATAATTTTGACTAATTGAAATTGCGGTCTGTGCTTTGCGTAGATACGCAACACGAACCTCCATAGTTAAAATTCCCTGTCCTTAATTTCTGTTTTAATTTCGCAATTACGTAAAGAATAATCGTTTCTCAATTTTGAACAGTATATCATTGTTTTACATAAGTGGTCATAGATAAAACTTGTTAGGTGCAACAATTAAGTTTACGTACCCGTACAGTTGTTCATAGGGTACATTCAAAGACCTGAAATGGGGAACAAAGTATAACTTCTTCCTGTTCCAGTGTCGAGTCATTACAGTCAATGCACATTTCTATAACCAAGAGTCGATATGGCTCTGTCGTAGCCAGATCGTTAAATCCGATTGTTTGTAAAACACCCAATCGTTTTATAGAATGCTGTCAGATGTTCAAATCGTCGTTCAAATAGCTAAGTAGCCCTATTTCGCGATCCGGCTATTCATTTTATAAAGCGACTAGGCGTTTCATGAAATGACCACCGAGACCCCGCTACGTTGTCAAATTCATTAAATTACCGTCTGTTTTACATTCCGGCCAAATAATTTCAGCAATCTTATAAATAATGTTTTAATCGACAAGTTTGAATAAAACGTGGTGAAGTGCTTAGGATAGCATTTTGTATTTTATTTACGTAGTCTACGGAATATACATAAATAGAGCACATATATACATGAAAATATACTTTATTCTATGTAAGTATGTAGGGTAGGTTGTTATAGAAAAATACGTTTTTGATAGAATTACTTGAAATGATTTCGATGGAACATACGACGGTAATGCAATGAGTTTGACAATGCGTATGTATAAAATAATGGCGAACTGGTTTTAGAGTTTCACAATTCTTTTTCTTTAAAGAAGATGCGATTTAAGCGAAAGTTCTTCTAAATGTCAGCTATTGCATCTGTATAATTCGCCATTACCGAGAAATTTCTCATTTCAATTGAGACGTTCAGTGACACGGGAGTCAATTATGACCGACGACTGCATATAAGCAACACATGCCATGGTTTGGGCGCGAACGCGTTCCTTCGATGCACATTTTAAATGTTTACTGTACCCACGGTATGTCAATCGAACTTGGATATGACAGAATCGAAGTAATGCATGAGGCGATTTAACTCTAAACCTCCTACTATCCGATCAAATGACAGTTTTTAAATGGTATTGGCAATGAGGTTATAAATTGTCGGTACGTTTGGTGTTAATAATCGGCCGCCTCGATGAAATTATATTCCACTATTTTTAGTTTTTGAGAGCTTGTCTCCAACTTGATTATGATGGAATAGATTTTAGCACGAAGAAAATGGTAGTTGGAACGTGAGATGAAACGATTGACAGAAATCATATGAAATAGAGTTAATAGTGCATTCAAATAACTTCGCAATGTCGATTGGAAAGTAGTTGACGGTTTGCAACCTTGGCGCGCGTAATAGGAGGTGGAATGTACTGCTTAACGGAAATTACACGTCAGATATGTTTTATCTTAACCTAAGTGCCGAATGAAGATCCGTTCTCTTTTCATTCTGAGAAAGAGAAAGATAGACCACTGATTTATGTCAAAGTATGGCAGCACGGTTCAAACTTGCACATCTTGAGAAAAAAGTTTGATCGAAAAAAAAATATATTTTCTGTAAATAAATGCGGCCGTTACAGGCGGGGGAACGAGAATGCAGTTAACCCAAGAACAAATGTTTTCATTTAAACGAAATATAATTCTTGGCACCCATAATACTTATTGTTTTTAATTTCTCATAAAAAAATTAAATTTCATGAATGTCAGAATCTTCCTTAAGGTCTCCATACGCACGTGGTAAAATTTCGAACGATTTGATACACCCAGTCGGAAGAAAGGTTTCATAAATGATTGACCTCTTAGGTGCCACTTTTACGTCTCTTTAAAGGCAACAACGGATCGTATGTTCAAACGAACTCGTATCTGTATCACTTGCAGGAAACACTGTGTGTGCCATTTATCGATCTTGTGCAACGGTTGGGTAGGTACAATGCATCACGTAATATACGTTATTTCCCAGGCACTGCACAAAGTACAATATCCGTATATTCCACGTAGAAAATAAAAAACAGGGGTAGCAAGAAATTTTAGACAACAAATGCCTGATACAGTTGTAACTTTTTGCAAAATTCCCAATCCGATTAATTCCCAAATTTATGTAAACTATATATCGCGTGTAAGGGAAATTCTTCATGAAATATTTCGACAATTGAAGATTTAACACCAATTGATCGCGTCATGGAGTTCAACGGTATTGCGATCCTATTTGAATTCGTGTCTAATTGTCGCCTCTTTTTGGTTCATTTTTTCAGTACTTGACTCAAAATTCAGTGCATGTACCTTACAATATACGTATCACCGCTTCAAGTTAGGGGGCAGTATTCAGAGCTTCAAAATTTGTATGCTGCGCACATATAAATGGACTCTTTAACCGGAAAACCGGCTAATAGGGAAAAAAAAAAAGAAAAACGTGGAATTTATACGTGCAACTGCATTTTAACGTCTGAACGGCAAAAACCCGTACACATTGAAATAGGTTTTTTACTAATTAATTCTTTTTGTCGATTTTCATGTATGAAATGTCAGCAGAAAATTGGGGTTATCTTTACATTAAAATCCGGAGAAAAATATTATATATAACCGTACGTCATTCTATATAATAATGTATTCTTTCGTATATCACGTCAATCTCTAACTTTTTGTTTTGCAAACTCAAAAGCTTTTTTTAATTATCTACAGCAAATGATGATAAACTTATCAAGTCAAGGGCTCACCGGAAGTTGTATGAAAACTTCCCAATTCACGAAAACCTCAGCGTTTTCTTTCGTTATTAATTTACTTTATAGTAACGGTACGGAATTAGCTGTTTTTCTTCGAGTACGCGGTTAAAAGAATTGATAAAATTCATTCCCTCTTATTCAGACAACCCAACGATGACTTAATAATGTCTAAAAGATTATGGATTTTTCAAAACGTCATCTTTTGGTCGTAATATGTAGTCGACAAAAAAAAAAGACGATGTCTTTATGCTACATATTTTAACGTGTTTCAGTTCAGACTAAAATATGACGATTCGTCATCTTTCAGCCCGGATTAAAGGATGAGAAAATTCAGAAATTTTTTCGTTGGCTTACGTTCGATGCAGTTTCGTTGACCTCGGAGTGGTAGTTTTCCATAATCTCTCCTTCTTCCAACACTCACTCTCGGAGGCAAGACGGTTACCTCTTGACGTGAACCTGGAGTGTAGGCATTTAAAACAGTGGAAGGGGGCATTACGATGAAAACGTAAAGATCAGTACGTAACAGGTCTTATATACGAACGAACCACTGGCTGGACCGCTTGCTAGAGAGCTAGGCCGGTGACATCTATCGGTCCCGTCGAAACTAATCGGCAAGGCTCTTTCATCATAGCGAGACCATTAAGAAGTTTATATTAGAGTCATATTTCATCTAATGTTCGAATAACGGTAAATATATTTTGGTTACACACATTTTTTTTATCATATTTGAGGGAACGGCGAATATTCCAGCATGAATTACTATATTTTTGGTTAATGCAGTTCCCTTTACTATCAAACCTCGCAATCATAACGAACGTAGCTTTGTAACGATTACTAAGATTATAGTAAGTGTAACCTAAAATTGCCAACCGTGGGCACAATGTTATTTTAACATCACGCATTTCTCTCAGGGTACCAACAGCAAGACGCGAACTATACAAATTTGAATGATAAAAAAAAATGACATGGCAAATGATAGCGATCCGTCCGCATCGGAAATTGAGTTTGTCTTTCAATAAAAAGCTTCAATTTTGAAATTATACCCGTACATGAAATTACATCTGAACGAAGTGGCGCTGATGCGATCATCTTCCACTTACTTTCTGACATCTTAGACACCTTTCACTTTCTCTATTGGGCATCCATACAGCGACATCTTTTAGATATCTTTTCGTCGTGTCGAAAGGATGACTTGAAAAAGACAGCAACTTTCAGCGATTTTCAGAGATGTTCCGGTATACCGATGCTGCTGGCCAACGAGAGAAAGAAAAAGTAATTTATGCCTCTATCGTTGATTGCTTTTCATTTGTTCGTACAACTAGTAGAATCGTCCGGTTCCGATGAGGTTAACGTCAGTCACTCACGGCATTACAAACCATTCAAGCTTCGAACGTTTTTGTCCGAGACATAACAATGTGCGTAACGAGCGAATCAGGTTCAAATAGATTGGAGCGTAATTCATTTCCAAGTGTTTAT